TCATTCATTGACTTTTTGTAATGAAAAATATTTTTGCGTTTTGCAATTGTGAATTGTAAACAAAAGAAAGTAACTTAGGTTAGGTTAGTAGTCACATTGAAATACTTTATAATTACCCAATCATAGAGCTATGATGATAGATAAAAGAGAAATTTCGAAGTTAAAAAAATAGCCGGACGATAAATTTAAAATGCAATTCAAAGTGATATAATACAACTTGATATATCACATGAATGGGTCAATTTCATTAGTTGCATCTTTGACCCAAATATTTAAAAATTACGTCCCACCATTTTGAGGTCACTGCTGATTCATTTTATAGAATGATTTGACAGATTTAGTATTTTATAGACAAAACGAAATGCTTCACCTTCTGTGCTTTCTTTTTCCAATCGAATTTGAGTGAAACATTTTTATTATCATTTTATCATAGTCTAATTTGAAGAAAATATATATATTGCGTATATAGAGATCTCTTCATACTAACACTGATCTTTCATTTATTACTATCAATGAAGTACTTCCACTCAATAAAAATTGTCATCTCTTCCGTACTAACACCAGATAATCGAAATCAGACGGAATGTCTAAGCTACGTTTGCTAGTTTTGGGATAGTGACGAATGTTGTACATCAGAGATCCACTTATGTCCTTGTACCAAGATTTTCCAAAAACTTTTGTCACAATTTTCATCAATAGTGTACGATTTAAATTCTGATTATATTTATGCTATGTTAATTAGATTTCATTCAAAAAAAACAATTTCACGTCTCAAATATTAATTCACCAGATCTACTAAAAATATATCGGAAACTCCAAAATTTGTAAGCTTCCAATCTATTAGCAATAAAGCGATTGGAAATACACCCGATATGTCATGTGTACATACTACAGTTAACATCCAGAAAGCCTTCATCATATGATGCCCACCACTGATAAAATTGCATTACTATTAAGATACTTAACATTGTCATCCACTTTTAATCTTACAATATTTTTGATTCGACACAGCTTAACAGAGGTAGAAATTCAACACTTCATACTTGAATATTTTGTAAACAGTAATGTCTTGAATACAGACAGTGTTCGCTGACTCATTGTTTTTATGTCACGCAGAGCACTCTATTGAGTCGACACTTACAACTCGAAGTTAGCCAATACGATTTGAAAATTTCGTATTAGACGTTAAACAAAAGTGACTAATGAAGCTGTAAAAATCATGTCTTTTTCAAAAATTTGAAAAAGCATAAATATATGCTGAATATCTGAACTGTTAGTTAGCAATTAAAACACAGTGATTTCTATCCGAAAACTTCTGTATTGTTCGAAATAAGTTTAACGCCATAATTATTATTGATAAGTTCGAGTAGGACGTCAACAAAGTGCAATAATACTCCTAATAAGACTGTCCATTTATCATTATCATTGTTGGTATTCATCAGTTATCATCTGAAAGCCTTTTGCATTTTATAAAATTAATAAGCTAGCTATTAAGCTAATACAATCACGTCAGTTTCACGATTACTTAGAAGACTTTCCTGAGTCAATCTGGATTGCATATCATTGCTTTCCTTAGAACCGTACAAATCGAATAGAGCGCTTCGAGAAGGCGCAACCATAAAAGTTATAAACAGTGACAACAATAACATTTCCACGATAATCACAAAGTTACATATAACTGAAATGCAAAGTACTAGCACCAAAATGTTATCTTTCTTTTAATGCGAGTTAAAATTGTGAAAATCCGAAATGAATAGAAAAAACATGTATTTTTGAATTCTATTGATTCAAATTCCATCAATGAAAAAAAAAAATTTGAATTCTTTTTTCTCATGTGTCTCATTATTCCAAACAAGAAATGGACGCTTTTTTTTTTTATTGAGGCATATTCATCCTAAATGTTTCAGCTCTGACAGTCATCAAAAAGTTTTTCAGTAAATATTATTATTGAATTTTAAATTCTTTGACCATGAAATCAACATAGAGTGAAATATGAAATGATTAAAAAAATCCCAACTTACGTCGAGCGTTATCGAGCGTAGATAGCAATGGACCACATTTTAAAACATTAAATCGTATCAAAATATTCTCAAATATTATTGGCTGTTGAGCAGTGAAAAATAAAAGTGCAATGTCAATAACTCGAAATATTGTCATAAATCCATAATGTCGAAGTTTATCCTTAAAATCACTTTTTCTTTATTGAAAAAAAGACAGAAAGCAACGAGAAATCACACAATATGTTAATTACTTACGGAAGTTAGACGAGCTAATGTATGAACACCAAAAATAGCAAGTAGCAGAGAAGCAACAGAAATTGTTTCACTGAAGTGTATGTATCTAAAAGAATCAATTTTTGAACACAACACAATTGCTGGCATAGACCAAGTAATTATTGTTTCTCTCGACATTAACGATGAGAAAAGAAGCATATTAAAAGTTTATATGAATACATCGTTTCCAGCAAACGACAGTCATCAAAAGACAAGTAATTTGCATGAAAACAATCAATGGCAGTCAAGTTTAGAGGTACTAGTCGTCAAACTATTATAAACAACAGAAAAAAATGAGTACTTATTAGCAGCTTCACGCCATTCTGCGATCGCAATCACATTAAACGTAACGATCATCGCGCGAACCACTGGAGCCTGTAAGACTAACCATTCCAGTTGTCGCAAATTTCGCCTGGAGTTGAAAGATTTCTAAAAATTATGTTGAAAACAAATTTTTTTCAAATTTTTAAAAAGAATAAAAAACTCAATAACTTACACGCTACTTTTTGCTTTTGGTAAAAATGAACAGCAACAACAAAACGGTGGACTTTGAAAATCAATTGGCTTCTTGTCCAATAGAAGTATGGTTGCGAATGCTTCACGACTACCGAACAAATGGTATATCAGTGAAATAAGTATAAATAGGCATGTCAAGAAATAAAGAACGCCAAGTGAGGACATCATCATTGACGTACGTGGTGATATCATACCGATATAGCAGCACATCGCTGATACCTTTAAATGTTTGCGAATAATTTTCTTACAATGTAAATCACTATCATTAAATGAATTCGTATTCTGTAAAGTAAAAGTGCATAAAGTATCAAAAGAAATAAGTTGTTTCAAATTTTCTTGGATCAAAAGATTTGGAATAAAGAGCACAAGAATACAATTATCATACAAGAGAAAGATTTATGAAAAGATTGAAATTGTTATTGTGATATTATTGTGAAAATAAGAAAATATGGTTCAAATTACGAAGTTAGTATCGCATATCATGGAAAACCTTTAAATTTCGTTAAGTAGTATTTGCAGTCAGAACCAAAAATTAAACTGAAGAATTTACCGGAAATAATGACAGCAAGAAATAAAGTTTGTTTTGTCGTTTCTCTTCAGCTACATACATCCACACATGAAACCAATGAATAGCTGCTAATAACAATACAATAAAGGTAAAAACTGACGCAAATAGTATTAGAATGAATTGAGCACCGTTTACATCTGAAACAAAAAAGAGACAAACTTTGACCTTTTCTTTGCAATAGTAAATTTCACACCTATCTGCCATTCTTCCTAAAAACTTTCCTCAGACACTCTACTGTGTCCTTCTGATTTTCGAGCCAACACTTATTCTCTTATGCTTTTGCTGTTTTATTTATTAGGCCGTAAACATATCCTTGTAATGAATGAAAAAATTGAAACGAAGTTCATTATATCAACTGCTGAGAGTATCATTAAATTATTTCTATTAATTCACTAGCTAGTACGAAAACTAAATAAGCCAGGAATTCCCATAACATTAGAAAATGGATAAAATTTCGTTGTCTAGAAGAAGTGGACAAACTAACTTTTGATAAAGAAATATGCAGATGGCTGATCTGATAATGAAGTACAGTTCCGACCGGAACTAGACCAGTCCGCTAGTTCGAGTATTTTCTTCGTTAGTTCATCAAATTTCATATTCACTGCCGAAAAAAAATTTCATATTCAGTCCCCAAGGAGTGGCAGTGATTATTTTGAATTTTTTTAAAAGGAATTTGGAGAAACACTAAAAATAAGAATTAAATGTCAAAAATATTGATGGTTAGGAAGAAGAAATGAAAGACGAATGTCATCACAAAGTGATATGACAATCATCGCCTGTTGTCTTCAGGAAATCAAAATTGGATGGACAATACTGAAGAAAAAAACACAACACATCAAAATAAATTGAGAAATAGAAGAATTTAGTATTTTAAAATATGCTAAATGACTTAGTCGTATAAAAATTAGAAAAAAAGGATAATAAACACAATAGGAGGAGATACAATTTCCGGTAGTTGTATCCGAATTATAGATCGGATGCTAAACCGGTAGCAGAAAGATATCAAATGTTGTGCAATGAACAGCTGGGATAATCACATGCTATGGCCTGATGGATCGAAGCTGAGATCTACCGGCTGTCAACCATTAACGAACAGCACAAAAGATAAAAGAGTACCAAACTATTTTGTTTATTAAAGAACACTTTCTGAACGAATTGAATGAACGAAGAACACTGAGCAATCTTAAATTTGCAGAATAGCACACTTAGCACTGACTACTGATAGAGGAAAGGACGCCAGATGCTGATAATATTGCAATCAAAATGCTAGGATGGCTGATAAGCTACAACCTGAGCAAGAGGTCATGACAGATGAACTGGAGTGATGGTAAGGATGGCTGATAAGCTACAACCTGAGCAAGAGGTCATGACAGATGAACTGGAGTGATGGTAAGGATGGCTGATAAGCTACAACCTGAGCAAGAGGTCATGACAGATGAACTGGAGTGATGGTAAGGATGGCTGATAAGCTACAACCTGAGCAAGAGGTCATGACAGATGAACTGGAGTGATGGTAAGGATGGCTGATAAGCTACAACATGAGCAAGAGGTCATGACAGATGAACTGGAGTGATGGTAAGGATGGCTGATAAGCTACAACCTGAGCAAGAGGTCATGACAGATGAACTGGAGTGATGGTAAGGATGGCTGATAAGCTACAACCTGAGCAAGAGGTCAACTGGAGCGATGGTAAGATGGCTGATAAGCTACAACCTGAGCAAGAGGTCAACTGGAGCGATGGTAAGATGGCTGATAAGCTACAACCTGAGCAAGAGGTCAACTGGAGCGATGGTAAGATGGCTGATAAGCTACAACCTGAGCAAGAGGTCAACTGGAGTGATGGTAAGGATGGCTGATAAGCTACAACCTGAGCAAGAGGTCATGACAGATGGACTGGAGTGATGGTAAGGATGGCTGATAAGCTACAACCTGAGCAAGAGGTCATGACAGATGGACTGGAGTGATGGTAAGGATGGCTGATAAGCTACAACCTGAGCAAGAGGTCATGACAGATGAACTGGAGTGATGGTAAGGATGGCTGATAAGCTACAACCTGAGCAAGAGGTCAACTGGAGCGATGGTAAGATGGCTGATAAGCTACAACCTGAGCAAGAGGTCAACTGGAGCGATGGTAAGATGGCTGATAAGCTACAACCTGAGCAAGAGGTCATGACAGATGGACTGGAGTGATGGTAAGGATGGCTGATAAGCTACAACCTGAGCAAGAGGTCAACTGGAGCGATGGTAAGATGGCTGATAAGCTACAACCTGAGCAAGAGGTCAACTGGAGTGATGGTAAGGATGGCTGATAAGCTACAACCTGAGCAAGAGGTCATGACAGATGGACTGGAGTGATGGTAAGGATGGCTGATAAGCTACAACCTGAGCAAGAGGTCATGACAGATGGACTGGAGTGATGGTAAGGATGGCTGATAAGCTACAACCTGAGCAAGAGGTCATGACAGATGGACTGGAGTGATGGTAAGGATGGCTGATAAGCTACAACCTGAGCAAGAGGTCATGACAGATGGACTGGAGTGATGGTAAGGATGGCTGATAAGCTACAACCTGAGCAAGAGGTCATGACAGATGAACTGGAGTGATGGTAAGGATGGCTGATAAGCTACAACCTGAGCAAGAGGTCATGACAGATGGACTGGAGTGATGGTAAGGATGGCTGATAAGCTACAACCTGAGCAAGAGGTCATGACAGATGGACTGGAGTGATGGTAAGGATGGCTGATAAGCTACAACCTGAGCAAGAGGTCATGACAGATGGACTGGAGTGATGGTAAGGATGGCTGATAAGCTACAACATGAGCAAGAGGTCATGACAGATGGACTGGAGTGATGGTAAGGATGGCTGATAAGCTACAACCTGAGCAAGAGGTCATGACAGATGGACTGGAGTGATGGTAAGGATGGCTGATAAGCTACAACATGAGCAAGAGGTCATGACAGATGAACTGGAGTGATGGTAAGGATGGCTGATAAGCTACAACCTGAGCAAGAGGTCATGACAGATGGACTGGAGTGATGGTAAGGATGGCTGATAAGCTACAACCTGAGCAAGAGGTCATGACAGATGGACTGGAGTGATGGTAAGGATGGCTGATAAGCTACAACATGAGCAAGAGGTCATGACAGATGGACTGGAGTGATGGTAAGGATGGCTGATAAGCTACAACCTGAGCAAGAGGTCATGACAGATGGACTGGAGTGATGGTAAGGATGGCTGATAAGCTACAACCTGAGCAAGAGGTCATGACAGATGGACTGGAGTGATGGTAAGGATGGCTGATAAGCTACAACCTGAGCAAGAGGTCATGACAGATGGACTGGAGTGATGGTAAGGATGGCTGATAAGCTACAACCTGAGCAAGAGGTCATGACAGATGGACTGGAGTGATGGTAAGGATGGCTGATAAGCTACAACCTGAGCAAGAGGTCATGACAGATGAACTGGAGTGATGGTAAGGATGGCTGATAAGCTACAACCTGAGCAAGAGGTCATGACAGATGGACTGGAGTGATGGTAAGGATGGCTGATAAGCTACAACCTGAGCAAGAGGTCATGACAGATGGACTGGAGTGATGGTAAGGATGGCTGATAAGCTACAACCTGAGCAAGAGGTCATGACAGATGGACTGGAGTGATGGTAAGGATGGCTGATAAGCTACAACATGAGCAAGAGGTCATGACAGATGGACTGGAGTGATGGTAAGGATGGCTGATAAGCTACAACCTGAGCAAGAGGTCATGACAGATGGACTGGAGTGATGGTAAGGATGGCTGATAAGCTACAACATGAGCAAGAGGTCATGACAGATGAACTGGAGTGATGGTAAGGATGGCTGATAAGCTACAACCTGAGCAAGAGGTCATGACAGATGGACTGGAGTGATGGTAAGGATGGCTGATAAGCTACAACCTGAGCAAGAGGTCATGACAGATGGACTGGAGTGATGGTAAGGATGGCTGATAAGCTACAACATGAGCAAGAGGTCATGACAGATGGACTGGAGTGATGGTAAGGATGGCTGATAAGCTACAACCTGAGCAAGAGGTCATGACAGATGGACTGGAGTGATGGTAAGGATGGCTGATAAGCTACAACCTGAGCAAGAGGTCATGACAGATGGACTGGAGTGATGGTAAGGATGGCTGATAAGCTACAACATGAGCAAGAGGTCATGACAGATGGACTGGAGTGATGGTAAGGATGGCTGATAAGCTACAACCTGAGCAAGAGGTCAACTGGAGCGATGGTAAGGATACATCACCTCCTGCACTGCCTGCAGCGAAGGATGAAAAATTATCCCGTGGAAAGCAATTGGTATATCATTGCAGTAGAGATTAAAAGTGCAGGAATCAGACAAAGGAGATGGCAGAGAATAGTAAGAGAATGTGAAGAACCAGTGACAAAGAGAGAAATATTTTGAACAACAGTGGGAATAATGAAATGAACGGAATTCATCTGAGTGACATTAGAAATGAATTTCATATCATAAAGTTCACAAATGCATTCCCTATTGACATATATATTTCTTAGGTTTTCCCCGAGATAATAGGTAGAAAATTACCTCCGGGACAATACAGAAGAAGAAAGTAAAATCCGTTAAGGTTATAGTTCATCGAGGAAGAAAATATGGTTCTAGCTTACATCTAAACAAAGAGACAGTGAAATGGCAAAGGAATATGAACACTTCACCTCCCCAGCTCTCTCGCCTTGTATCGCAACTCTGAAAACTCGAGAAGATGTATCGATTCCATCCCAGTCCATCCACACGTCACCCTTCAGACTTCCCGTCGTAAGCAGCTCATCAGTCATCGATCTGCGATGAAAGCTTGCTGATACATATCTATTATGTGCGTGCAAGCATGCATCTGCATGTTGCATTATGCATGTTCCTCTTCATTTTTCATCAAAAGATATATGCTGTGAATGGTTGTGATAAAGTGAAAAAAACTAAAAGTGAATCATTTCATACTTCATTCCACGCTTGTATATTGGGGTGACACATGTCGTAGTCCTCTCTCTTTCTCTCTCTGTCTTTCTCTCCTTCTCTGTCTCACATTCTGTCTGTTGACATTTTGAATTTTAATGAAATGTATAGTTAGAGTACTGAATAATTCGGTAAGATGAAAGCGTTAGATTAGCATATTAAGAAGCAATTATATGTGTGTTAGTAAGGTTTACTTTTAAATAATAAGAGAGATAATTAATGATTTTAACAAATTAGTTGAAAAAAATAGATCATCAGCTATGGAATGTGCTGAATTAGAATTACTGAAAGTTGATTGTCACATATCTCAGTAAGTATCGATCTGATTAATATTAATTGTGTGATAGTAATCATTGTTATATTATTTTTGCTCTGATTATTACATTAAATATTTATGTAATCGTTTAATTGCTGAAAATTAAGTTGAAATTTTTGTTAAATTAAACTGAAGGAGTGAAACGAAATCGAATTGATAATTTAGTTGTAATACAGAACGGTTAAATGTTGTTCAGTAGTACTACAATGATAAACACAACACTTCCTGTTTATGTTTTATAGCAAAGAAAAAATAAATGTATTACAAGAAAAAATGAGCAAATAAAAATGAAAAGAAAACTAAGAAAAAAAGAGAGAAAAAGGAAAAATAATAATAAATAGATCTTTCAAATTTGCGACTTTTTTTTCTTCATTTAGACAATATTTGCGACAAAAAAAATTTATACAATTGATAGATCAAGTTCCCTTTAATTTTTACAATTGATCTATAGTTAAAATCTGTTAGATAACTTCCGAAATCTCATAATTGCTGATTAGATAAGATTCTCGAACAGTATCTTATAGCATTCAAACTAATTCATAAGTAGTATATCCAAAATTTTTTTGTGGGAACGGAAAAATGATTGAGAACATTGAACTAATAAACATATATTGTGTGACATTCCTAGCTTAAAATAAGTTTTTAGCTAGAAAAGTTTGTTAAAATTTCATGAAAAAAACTTTGCACCAGTAAAGAAAGTGGGAGTAACAACTTATCACATATAATCTAAAGCTGCTAAGATGATTAAGTGATTTCGGCGAACCATTCTGATTTTGTACGATCGCATTCGACATCTTCCATTTTGACATGCATGTTGGGATATAACAGAAAATAGAATAGACAAAATGACATGAATGCTATCAGAAAGATCATCTGAAAATATGCCATTATGATATTAGTAAGACATTAATTAATGTTATTGACAGAGTAACTGGTTCATTGCTTTTCAAATGAATGGTTCGCCGTTCGCCATGGTATTAAAATTTCATTAGTAAGACATATGGTCAGTAGCAATGCATTATAACTTATTTTCTAAAAAGATTGTCAAAATTTATCAAATTGAAAAATTTATTTCCGATTATATTTGATAGAGAACAAAAAAGAAAAAGGAAAAAAAAAAGCAAATTAAAAACAGAGCAAAATGCTATCTGTTTCATAACTAATTTTCTAATTGAAGCCTCAATAACTCGAATATTATAAATTCGAAAAAAAAAAACTTAAAACTCATTAAATTCTTTTTTTGTCCTTGTTTTAGCTGAATATTTCCGTTACTCATTCGAATAAGCTAATAATGAGTCGTAATAAAAAGATAAATCACTCCAAAATCAATAGATTCTCGCAAGAGAAATACGACAATGATTCAAACCTGAGATATCCAATGGAACAACTGTATTGACTTTTTTGATAATCGACAATTATCCAACAAATATTTTAAAGTGAAACATCGTAACTGTCGTCGTTTTTCCAAATAATGGTCTAATTCGCATGGATCATTCATTGAAATTGATGTATGTGAATTAGACAAGCGACAAGATCTACAGTTAAAATGTAAGGTAATTTCTCGGGAATTTCTCGGGAATTTCTTTGGAGAGTAGTTTGACAAATTTCACCAAATTGTTCAATAATTTGCATATTTTATTGCCATAATTTGTGAATACTATTAGTACCTTTGCTGCAAAGAAGGTAAATCAAAATCGATACAAGTCGTCCGCGATGATGCCACAACAATGCCAGGCTCATTAAATGTATCATTTGTGGCCGTATTAACCTTTGCTAGCATCGATGCAACCATGGAAGATCGCTTTCTGCATCGATTTTCAATCAATGTTCCGTTTTTGTTTACTCGACTATTGTATGAGTTAAATCTACTAGAAAAGACATAATTTGCTTTTAATTAAAATTGACGACAAATTTGATAGCACTTTAATACTGTGATCATTCTGTATCATCTAATTACCATGGTGCCAAAGTAACAAAATGAATTTAAGGTTAACTTAATACAATAACCTTTCTTTATTAAGCTTCTGCCGCATAAATTTTACAAGAGCAATCTTGATCAAAGATAAAAACACAGCCATAAAGCATACACCTGAAAATAGCTTGCATTATGAAACTTTAAAAATTTGAAATTTATTAGCAAGATCATACAAAAGAATAACATACTACTTTTGATGTTATTAAAATTCAAACGAAAATTAAGAAAAGACAGGAACAAACCAAGATAGATATCCATGGCTTTGATATAGCTTACACGAGGCATCATCTCATTGTATGAGAATATCAAAAATGTTATTGCCAGTATAATTGAAACCATATCCTGAAATTTATTTCTAAGTTGAATTTACTGAAATGTAGCAAATTTAAATATATATATATATAAGCTGTGATTATAACAAAAATGCTAGAATTTATCAGCCAGAAAAAAATTTTGCCTGAAATTCAGTCTCGCTTTCCATCCATAATGAGACCCATGAGGTGATGACAACTGCCGTGGATGGGACTACCAATTGGATCAGACAAAATCCCGATGAACGATCAAACACAAAACATACATAAAGTCTGCTATAATTGCCTAAAGCAATATAAAATAAATTTGTTCTTTGTGATTAACGGAAACATTTTCATCTCGAAGAAACTTATAATTATAACACCTTGAATATATGGTTCAAAATTCAAAGCTTAAATATGAAGAATTTTCAGACTTAAACTTGCTACATTTAATAAGGGAGAGGAAAGCTAGCCTGTAGCATAATTTTCAATAACACTCGTCACATAAGCTTCTTTGATTTGGAAATCCGGCAACCGGATTTTGTGCAGCAGTAGCGGCGCTTTGACGTCTTTGGACCAAGAATATCGCACACGATCTGCTGTATATCCATCTGCAAATAATTAAATTTCTATTAAAATTCCAATTCAATATAAGTCATATAACTTTAATTTATTTAATTTATTTTTTTTTAAATAAAATGTAAGATTGAAATGCTTTTTATTAAATATCTCTTAGCATCTCTTAGCGTTTTTTCTCTTTGCAAATAAGAATAACAAATAGTAGGATCAATTGTCATAAGTTTAAACTAACAACTTTCGATTCCAAGTTTACATAATTGTGAGTCGAATGGGAAAAGTGTCAGGTCCATTGGACATTCGGCCACGATGGAAATACGTCTACTGTAGAGGACTGTGCCATCTTCACTCAACCTGAACAGGACATTTGAGAAGAAGGCAATGTTTATCATTCTCCTTATCACATCTAGCCATGTAGACTTTTCTATCCAAGATGACACCATTTCTTGATTGTCAACTTATTCAATTTGGAAAAATTTAAATAGTAGGAGACTTTTGACCTTAGCAAAGAACGATGTGAAATTGAATGTTTTTGCGGATTCTTGGAAGCGACCGCATTTGGCATGAATGTGTCCGGATGCCATAAGAAGTTGATGTAACTTTCATGTAATGATATCTTCCGATCTTTGAAATGATTCTGATAACTCAATCTCTTGTCCAGCCATGATTCACGATAAAACAATTCAAGAGCATAGTCCTTAATTATCTTATAGACAAATGTAAAATCCATTATGATACTTTTGAAAAGACCGATGAAATGAAACCTTCAAGAATTCGAATACTTGTTCAGAAATGATAATATCTTTAGTTTTAGAAGACAAGAAATATTTAGAAAAAAAATTTAAAACAAATAAGCAACTAAATTCTCGTACCATAGTAACTTCAGAAACAGCTCGAATATTGCTAACAACAATTGATACATTAATTATAACCGCTTCTGCAAATACAACTAAGTTCTCATATCAGTTGATGGAAAAATTATTCAATTTATATTTTTTTTAAAAAAAACTTGTATTAAACAATTTCATAGAGTTTTAGCTGAAACACCTAAAATATTTATTTTGAAAATGTTATTTGACTAAAATAAAAATGAATTAAACTGAAACAATGTAAATCAACTTAACCAAACGGAATAGCAAACCTCCGTCATCATTTTCCGGTTCTTTCCGATGATCATAATCAGTGCGAACAAGAAAATGAAAAAAATCGCTCGTTTCACTGCAATTTTTCAAAAATTTCAGTCCTCAAGAAAAAGATGAAAAATTAACTTATTTAAGTTTCTCGTTAGGGATGAAAAGACTTCTTTTATGGCTGAGTTAAAACTTCACAATTTAGCTGTAAATTATTCCGTTTTCAGAACGAATAAACAAAAACATAGTTCCGATTTGGAGAGAAAATTTGAATTTCTTTTATAAAAGCTAAAATATTAGAACTCAAATTTATCATGGCCTCCAAGAACCTTCAATATAATTACTTCATGTAAGTTTCGTTGAACTTGCAAAGGATGAAAAATGCTTAGTAACAAGTAGAAGTTATTTCAGGAGAAAAGCAATTATTGAAACGATTTCCTTGGAATGTTATCATAAATGGGTAGTTGATGCATTTTGATGCAAAAGCTTTTTAGTGCAGTTGAATTGCAATTTAGCATACACTACATGCATGTTTAGGGTATAGGATGAATGATGGAAATGGCCAAGTAAAAAAGTTAAAGAGAAAAAAATATTTGCAAATGAGAGAGCATTAAACGAAATAGCAAAATGAAGTGATTAAAAAATTAAAATTCAATAGATCAATCAAATATAATGCAGTAGAATAGTCTTTGTACTTTAAATTCATCTTATATTAACAGAATCAAACAGTAAACAAAATGAAAAGTAAAATTTGGAAAATAGATTTGCTAAAATCAACTTAAAAGTTATACTTTCCGCTAATGCCGTTCCGGTAGTATGTAGACCATTGTACAGACGAATCATCATCAGCCATAATGTCGTATAACCCATCTGATTTTTTAACATTAGAAGCATGGAAACCTGCTGCTGCAATCTGAAAGAAATGACAATCTTTTTAAATTTGATTTTTTCAAAAAATGTTCTTAAAATATTGTTGTTTGAACATTTGATTAAGATTACGCGAAAGATTGATAATTATGCTTTGTTTGATAACCAATCGTTATCACGCATACAATCTTCTTTATCACTTTATAGAAATAGTGTAAAGATAAACAAAAGTAACAAAAGCAATTAATGATAAATTAATTGCACCTGACTTGTTCCATTCACCAACAGTGATATCCAAAAATGAATCACAGCTATCATTACTGCCAACGAATACATCAACTTTTATTTTAGTTACATTACTGCAAATGATGAATGATGCACTAATTCATCACAGCTTTCGGCTAGAAAATAACAATTTTCAGCAAAGAGAACAATTCAGAAAGTGAAAAATAAGGAATAAGGAAAATGTGAAAAATGAAAAAGTTGTATAAATCAGTGATGGATGAAATTATACAGAAATTTTGTTAAAATAAAAGATTTAAATAAAGCAAAGTTTGAAAGATGAGTGTTTATCTGAAATTTAGTACTTGGTTTTACTTCATTCAATTCAGCACTAAATGTTTTATTAACAAAAATTTGTTGATTTAAATAGAGAGATACCTTTTACAGCAATTAGAGTAATTAGCAGTGAATTCATTAGAATCATTCATTTAATTAATCGGAAATTATCTCTTTGGATGACATGAATGTAACCTTTATAATCAATCATGATTGTATCTAATTTCTGAGTAGACAGTTCTAAACGATTAAAAAAAATTAATATTTTAATAATATATATGAAAGTGTACTAATAGACTGATAATTACAAATTATGCTACCAATCCATTTCACAGCAGAAAAGCAAGAAATTTTACGGAGCAAACTCTTAGTGTATTTATTGTACTGTGCGGTAAAATGATTAACGGAAAAGCATATATTCTAGATTTTAAGGACAAGAAATATAACACAATTAATTATCGATGCTTATTCAATAGATTAATTTCTACTTTCTAATAATTTGAATAATTAGGAATCAAGAAGCTTCGAATGATTCTATTTGGGATATTAGTCAGTGAATCAAGTAATTGTCAAATTCACAATTAACGCATTTTATTCTAACGCAAAGTTAAGCAAATTTGGTAAAAAAAATTAGTAAAGGAGCATCTTTCCATAGAACAAATAATCGTTTAAGATTATTTGTTTTATGGTCATAATGGCGATTTAATTTATTTTTCTAATTAAGTCTAACAAATTGGGATATTAGACGAAATATTTGCTCAATCCAATTTTTTCGAATATACTTTTATTTTTGAGCAGTATTTTCCCATCCAGTTGCTTTGAAAATGTTTATTGAATTTTAAGTTTGATACTTCAGCAATTTGGGATGAAATTTAATGCAACAAAACACATCAAATTTAGCGAACGATTGTTGTTTTAGTAAAATGGATGAAATAATAAGGAGTGAAACAAGAATGATTCATCTGCGATATTCGTTCAAACTTCTAATAACTTTTTTGTGGTACTTCCTCTCACTGTGAACAGACTCATTTAAATATTTGACAATAAATGGGACGAAAATGATTCAGATGATAAGATTTATTCTATGATATTTGCAATATCACTAAGCAGCCGATATTTTAATTGGTATAAAGTTACAGGAAAGAATCTGTGGCATACCAATACTGAATCTTTTGATTTGACAAATATTCAATTTCATCTTTTTTTTGCATTCAAATATTTTCTTTCTCAATGAAAAAAATGATACGAACTCGAACCCATAAGAAAGCAAATAGAAGTTATTTTATTATTTGTTGCAGATCGTTTGTCGAAATGGAAATGAATCGAAGTTCGTTTTTTACAATTTGCTTATTAAATTGCAAAGTGAAATAAAAATAAAAAGATCGATTTAGTAATTTTAGCAACAGAATGATTGAAGCTTGAAGGGAACCATCAAAATTCTTTATATAGCGTACGCTCAATAATTTGGCAATGAAAAATCTAAGATTAATAGCATATTTTAAATAAGTAATGATGTGTTGAGCTTCTCTAGAAAGTTTTAGCGAGGGATAATCATTTTGAGAAGCAGCAATAAAGAAATGGAAATAGTATAAATGAGGATTTCTCAATAACAAATGACATTCAAATGTGCAAGGAATGGACTAAAATCTGAAAAGCAACTCTTAGTGCATTTTCATTTTGCATAATAAGTTAACTGTATAGTTCGCCAAAACGATAGAGGTCAGTTGAATAAATTCTATGGGTTCTTCGAGTTTTTAGTAACAAAAACACGACGGAAGAAGGTACAGGATTCCTGATTGAGACTAGCTGACAGCTCCTTGTTATTTGATTAACTTCTTCAATTGATAAAAGCAATCCGTGATTAGCAACACTCTCTTCCTCAATTCCCTTTTTCATGTCATCAATGGAGATCCAACCCATGAAAGCTTGATATCAGAAATAGCCCTGCAACGATGCAAAATTCCAGAACAAAGCAGTTAACATTAAGAAATTTAACACACCCACATACACTGATACATACAAACATATATATACTCTAAGGCCTTCAACTGTTCCACTTTAAATTTAAATCCCAACTCTACTGGTTTCAGAAATACTTGCAAAAAGAAATTGGTTCTGTTTCTCATCCCACAAAGGGTAAAAAGAAAAATGTTCATAAAATCCGACTTTTTACATTTCCCTTTGGGATATGCTAGTAGCTAAGCCATACGATACATTACACCATTTCCTATTCTTGCAGATTCGTGAGAATCAACGGAACAAAGAGCAGCCTCATAAATCCGACGAATTTTATCGAAGCAAATTAAGCTGAACACAAATTTACCGCAATCCAGCTCCCAATGCACTCCCTAATTCCACCCACTCCATTATCTGTCCTCTTCGTGACTTATAATTTGAGGCTTTCAGACATTAGGAGCCTAATCGGCACAAATAAGCGCACATTTACTTTACGGGACCATCTAAATAATAAAAAGTACGCTTGACTTCTACTTTTCCCTTCATCCAACTCGAAAAAAATGCATCCTTCCTTTCTTGACTGTGACATTAATTAGCTCAACCAGAAATGAAATTTGAAATGAGAGAATCCGTTAATTCATAAGGATACATTGCAGGAAAACAGCAATTTCTTGCAAAGTATTGTACATATATTCAGAACCAGAGTGATTAATTCTACAGAAAATCAATTTCTGTCCTATAAAATATCTCATGAATTTTAATTTATGAGATATTTTATCCTTTTGTTACATCAGAAAATATTGTGCAGTCTTCACACTGAAATAAAATGCTCGAATGTAGAAAAATTTTATAATAGCCACCACATAACAATTATCGACAACGAAACAACCAAGAATTTTTTATTTATGAACGTGGCCTTTCCTTTTTTCCTTTAAACAGTGCAATCAATGATGTATTCGCTACTTTGACAATCTTAAAGCGCACACCAGGTATATCACCCACAGCATGTCCTTTCCGACCAAAGCCAGCAACAAGAACTTCGTCATTTTCCTGCAAAATAAACAAGACCCATTAAAGAATAAATAAGACGTCTTTATAGCGAAAGAAATACCATGCTGAGCACCAAGAATAAATAAATGAAAGCTCTGAAAACTTTTATTCAAAAAGTTTACTTCAATGAAGTTCAAGCAACCATCATTTGGTACGAATGCTGTGATCTTCTTTCCATTCTTAATTAGTTGCACACGAACACATTTGCGAATAGCTGAATTTGGCTGTTTTGCTTCAACACCTCTAAAGCAGAAAGTAATTAAGACACATCTTTAAGATGAATTGGTAAAGATTTCTAAGAAATAAAGAGTGAGCTACTAGGCATCGCCAAAGCACTGGGATGAGATATTTAGAGAAGCAAAGTATTTATATATCAGAATGTCAAATGACAAATCAGGGCCTGTACTACAGAATTACATCAAATAATAAACGAAACAAATCTCTCAAAATCTAAATCTTCAATGAAGATATTGCTTACACTTTTTCTAGGACGATGCCTTTAGCATGCGATGCTGCTCCAAATGGATTTGCCTTCCATCGTGTTCCTAAATGTGCCTTCTTATAGCCCTTATCATTCCAACGCTGAGCTTGTCTATGCGTTTTCAGTTTACGCGCTGTGCGTATACCCTTCGGTTTTCCCATGGCTTTATACTGCTAACAATAAATGAATTTAAAATGATATACATACGAAATGCAAGAAGCAGTGAAACTTCAGAAGCGGCATAAAAACCATTACAATAATTCTAAAAACACTGAAGTTATTAGTGAATCGATGATTCACTAATAACTAAATGCACACAGTGAGTTATTTACTCTTTTAAGCACACCTTCGCTTATTGTGTATCGTACAACTCAACTATTCTACCAATGTGCATACTTCCGGACTAGTAACAAGTAATAAAGTCCAATCAATATTCATCCATTTTTTATTTTAATATATATTCATTTTTATTTTAATATATAGACAGAGGCCGATAAAGTAATAACATGGATATGCAGAATTTGAGGCACGTTAAATGAACAAGCTGTTTATCTGATCTACCACAGACTCATCAGAATGAGACAAAATATGGACTACATTTCCCTTCATTCAAAAATGCACGCAGATGAGATAAGGTACGTCTATTCCACCATCACAACACGTCACGTATCTAATATAAAATCAAGAGATCAATAACACTCGCAGTTATGGACGAATGGTCAACTTGAGATTTGATTGGAGAGAATAATTTGATTCTAATTATGCAGGAATGAGAAGTAAGAAGTAACAAGCCAGAAACATAAACCCTCATAATCTCACTTAAAATCCCATAATGAGACACGACTGTTGTAGCACAATCATTGTCAAACCAAGACCGTCCCAAACTAATGTCTCGTTATGAAAACAACAACTCACACAAGTTACTATAATTCTTTTCTGCGGCAAAAGTAGGAGTCGAATGACGTTTATGAAAAAAAAAAACGAACGAACAGTGAAAATAAAATTCCCGGCATTATTTTAATTTCAGCTTTTCAAAGGAGTGAAAACAGATCTTTTGTACTAACCGTGATAAAAACAAATAAATACAAAAGCAGACCGTTCTATCTTATGGCGAACTAAACTAATATCAGATTCAATTTTTATGGAAGAAAAATATCTCAAAATCAAAAGGTTCTCTCACTTCTCACAAAAAATATACAATATCAATGTAGCTCAGCATACTAATATAAACAACCTTGTTAACTCCGAAACAATTCTGAAAAATAAAAAATATAAAAATTTTATTAATATC